AACAAATTATCTTCTGAGTTGTTGATAAATCTGGACGCTGGTCATCCTTCTGTGGCCCTTTGGCAACTCACTCAGACTTTTCTAGGTACGCTGATGTCTGCCACTATCACCCTTGATCTTGCTAGTTGTCCCAACTTTCTTTAGACCAGGACTATTCAACTGGTGGGCCGCAGACCAAAACTGGCTCTCAGAGGTCTAGCAAGTGGCCTGCAGATCACTGCCATTTATATTGTATTAATGATCTTTCTACGCTGGAGCTCAAGTCTCTGGACAGTGATGCTCCCCAATTTGAAAATGTGACCCCTGATATAATGTATTCTATATGATCTTTACAAATTAGCAGGGACAGATTACACTCTTGTCAAACTCTTCCGTAAGTTTAAACAAATCTGTCCTTCGTCACTAAAGTGTCGGTGCCTGTGGCTTAGGCACTGCGAACGTGCTTCGTAAAGCCAAGGTGCCGGGTTTGATCCCAGCTGCGAGCGATTTGGCAGCAGAAAGTCTTGCATTAATTTCGACAGTGATACTGAGAGCTGACAATTCAGACAGCAATGGCAAACTACTAAGCGTAATTTGCCTATAAAAACCACAACAGCTAAAAAATGCTGAGGTTGGTTTTGCAACGTACTGTAGAAGATGAGCAACTAACTTCATATGTCATTAAAGCAGTAGTTTGCAACCTTTTCCAAGTCGTAACCCCATTTCACACAGTCAATTTGGCAATCCCAATCAGCACAAAGAGACATCTCACACAAAGTATATTCATTCCCACCCAATGCTACCAGTGCCAGACGTGGTCACTCACAACAAAACATAAAAGACAATTAGTAACCATGGAAACGAGGTGTCTGAGAAAGGCTGTAGGAGTGACCAAAAGAGATAAAATCAGGAATGAGGTCATACGAGATAAAGTCGGCCCAGAACCAATTCTTAATTACATACAGAGACAGCAAATCAAATGGTTTGCCTACTTGGAGAGAATGCCTTCTGATGCTATACCATACAAGGCATAAACTAAAAGAGGAGAGGGTAGTAGAGCAAGAGGCAGACCAAGAACCATATGGAAAGACAACATCAGAGAAACTCTACAGCACCACAATGTATGTATGGTTGAAGCAGCCAGAAAAGCACGCAGCAGGACCTTATATCTCCCTCCACACCCGCAGCAGAACCTTTTATCTCCCTCCACACCCGCAGCAGGACCTTATATCTCCCTCCACACCCGCAGCAGGACCTTATATCTCCCTCCACATCCGCAGCAGAACCTTTTATCTCCCTCCACACCCGCAGCAGAACCTTTTATCTCCCTCCACACCCGCAGCAGAACCTTATATCTCCCTCCACACCCGCAGCAGAACCTTATATCTCCCTCCACACCCGCAGCAGAACCTTTTATCTCCCTCCACACCCGCAGCAGAACCTTTTATCTCCCTCCACACCCGCAGCAGGACCTTATATCTCCCTCCACATCCGCAGCAGAACCTTTTATCTCCCTCCACATCCGCAGCAGGATCTTTTATCTCCCTCCACACCCGCAGCAGAACCTTATATCTCCCTCCACACCCGCAGCAGAACCTTTTAGCTCCCTCCACACCCACAGCAGAACCTTTTATCTCCCTCCACACCCGCAGCAGAACCTTTTATCTCCCTCCACACCCACAGCAGAACCTTTTATCTCCCTCCACACCCACAGCAGAACCTTTTATCTCCCTCCACACCCGCAGCAGGATCTTTTATCTCCCTCCACACCCGCAGCAGAAACTTTTAGCTCCCTCCACACCCACAGCAGGACCTTATATCTCCCTCCACACCCGCAGCAGAACCTTTTATCTCCCTCCACACCCGCAGCAGAACCTTTTATCTCCCTCCACACCCGCAGCAGAACCTTTTATCTCCCTCCACACCCGCAGCAGAACCTTTTATCTCCCTCCACACCCGCAGCAGAACCTTTTATCTCCCTCCACATCCGCAGCAGAACCTTTTATCTCCCTCCACACCCGCAACAGAACCTTTTATCTCCCTCCACACCCACAGCAGGACCTTATATCTCCCTCCACACCCGCAGCAGAACCTTTTATCTCCCTCCACACCCGCAGCAGGACCTTATATCTCCCTCCACACCCACAGCAGGACCTTATATCTCCCTCCACACCCACAGCAGAACCTTTTAGCTCCCTCCACACCCGCAGCAGAACCTTTTAGCTCCCTCCACACCCGCAGCAGAACCTTTTATCTCCCTCCACACCCGCAGCAGAACCTTTTAGCTCCCTCCACACCCACAGCAGAACCTTTTATCTCCCTCCACACCCGCAGCAGGACCTTATATCTCCCTCCACACCCGCAGCAGAACCTTTTATCTCCCTCCACACCCGCAGCAGAACCTTTTATCTCCCTCCACACCCGCAGCAGAACCTTTTATCTCCCTCCACACCCGCAGCAGAACCTTTTATCTCCCTCCACACCCGCAGCAGAACCTTTTATCTCCCTCCACACCCGCAGCAGAACCTTTTATCTCCCTCCACACCCGCAGCAGAACCTTTTATCTCCCTCCACACGCAAAGCGGTAAAAAAGAGGACATAAAGAAGAAGAAGACTTCTGCAACCCCATACGTTAAAAACAGGTTTTGAATTGGGTCAATGAAAAACACTGAAAAGAGATTATCAGTATTGTCTTCTTTGTTTATATTCATTTGAAGATGTCAATGTGTTGTATCCGCTGACAACATAGCTGCAAAATTTGCACTTTTCGGCTAACAAATCCGACTTCTGCAAGCATTTGTTGCTTGCATTAGCTGTCCCAGGACTTATCAGTGTAATAACCAATATGATTTCTTTTGGTTTGCCAGTATTAACAAAATGTCATACCTTACCACTGCCTGAAGACCCCACAGAAAAACTTTTATGACTCCATCTGATGTCATGACCCATGGGTATCTGTGATTTAAAGCAATCAGATGAGAGGTTTGAAAAAGCAACACTTACAGAGAAGGCGGACACTGGAGCTGCAGATATGGTCTGATAGCTCAGCTGTGCCGAAGCATTTTGCTGGCCACCAGAAAATGTCTCTTGAGAAGATGAATGTTGATACTGCGTCCATGTGTCTTCCCTCACAGAACATGTCTGGCCGGGTAAAATTCCCTCTCGTGCCGGTGACTTCTTGTGGTTAGGTACAAAATCAGGATCAGGCATGAACTTTTCAGAAACAAAATCTGAAATCACTGCTGTCTGATCTCTTGTTCCATTGAGATTTGTCAAAACATATTCTTCCAACTCTTCGATAGTTTGGCTGAGATCATCTCTGAGGTCGGTCTGTAACAGTCAAGGAATTCAACAACAAAGATCTTCAACAATGAAGTCAGTGAGGTAAGTAACTAGTTGAACTGTTTCATATATAAGCACCTTCACTTTTCCTTTACCCGACTTTAACATGGACTCTCTCTCTGTGTCTCTCTGTGTCTCTCTCTCTCTCTCTTTCTCTAACTCCCTTCCCCCTCCCCCCCCCCCCCCCACCCCCCATATTTTTATAGACCAATCACCAATCAGGATTTGAAGTCACTGACTGACGGTCCGCCTATGGATCATGCTGATATTATTAATGCCCTCAGAGAAATTGGAAGGATAGAGGACTTTGGTGGCAGTAAATCCACATCACTCGCCAGAATTAAGATCGGCATAGCAAAAAACGAGACGCACACCAGCTACGCCAGAAGACTTGTTAATCAATACAGAACTGGTACTATTAGCCATCTAACTCACTAACTAACTAACTAACTAACTAACTAACTAACTAACTAACTAACTAACTAACTAACTAACTAACTAACTAACTAACTAACTAACTAACTAACTAACTAACTAACAAACTAACTAACTAACTAACTAACTAACTAACTCACTTACTCACTCACTCACTCACTCACTCACTCACTCACTCACTCACTAACTAACTAACTAACTAACTAACAGCACTTGAAGGATGATGTGGGCAAAAGCACTTCAGCCATTCCTTTAATTCCCATTTTTCTGTTGTGCCATTATATGCCACATCTATTCCCCCATTCTGTTCAATCCTGGACAACCCCTTTGACATCATGAATGCAATCCAATCCAGCACCTTTGGCCTCTCTCATCAACATCTGTTTTTGGGTTTCTTTTAGATGTCCTTGCTTCTTCAGTCCCTCTATTTTTCATATCAATACCTGTGTGGTGATTCTCTGTTTGATGTCTACTCAGGATATGTCCAATATTGAGCCCTCTTCTCTCTGTCTTATAACTGTTGTTATCTGTGCAACCCAACCAATTTCTCTTCACTCTTTACCCCTCTTGAATTCATCTCCATTTTATGTTCATCTTTTTCCTCAGGCATTTGTTTTTAAAATGTATTTAACTTGTGTTCCATCTCTTTAGCAGTTATCCAACTTTCACTAAAATTACAATATACTGACAAAAGAGAAGACATTTCACACAGTCAAAACTTACAGGACTTTCAGATGCTGATGTTTCCCATCTGCTTCTCCCATCTGGTTGTTCTGAGGCTGAATTTTCACCATCAGTAAAAGTCTGCTCAAACTGTTTTGATGATGTAGTCTGACCACTGGGTAATGTCCTGTCTTGTTGTTTTGATGATGAAGTCTGATCACTGGATAATGTCCTGTCTTGCTGTTTTGATGATGAAGTCTGACCACTGGGTAATGTCCTGTCTTGTTGTTTTGATGATGTAGTCTGACCACTGGGTAATGTCCTGTCTTGTTGTTTTGATGATGTAGTCTGACCACTGGGTAATGTCCTGTCTTGTTGTTTTGATGATGTAGTCTGACCACTGCGTAATGTCCTGTCTTGTTGTTTTGATGATGTAGTCTGACCACTGGGTAATGTCCTGTCTTGTTGTTTTGATGATGTAGTCTGACCACTGGATAATGTCCTGTCTTGCTGTTTTGATGATAGATTTTGACCATTAAATAATGTCCTTTCTGACTGTTTTGATGGGACATTTCGGCCACCAGCGAATGTCCTATCTAACTGTTGAGATAAAGTGTTCTGATCCTCAAAAAATGTCACTTGAAAGGAAGCACTTTCATCTGTACTTGTATACTCTACATTACTTGACTGAGTTATTCCGAACTCCAAGTCCTTTTGTCCTGGGGTTAAGTTGTCTCTAAACTTTTGCGACTCAGAGAGACTGGAGACAGAGGTAAACCTTGAATCTGCAGCTGGCTTGTCTTGTACAAAACTTGACGTAATTCTACTGGATTTCTGGAGTTTTCCTCGGAATTCTTCACTTGCACTCTGCATTTCTGATGTGTATTCTTCTGGTGTTTCAACTGTCTGAACTGGCTCATGAAGACCTCTTTCAATGGTCTGTGATACTGAGAAAGTATCAAAAGAATTGGCATCAGAGAAAGCAGCTGGTGAAGTTCTCTGGATGCCCTGTCTAAAAGCAGAAGTGGTGTCCACAACTCCTGTGTTATGGATATGATGTCCGGTAACTATACCACCATTCTCAAGAAGGCTGCTGCCATTTTCATCTACAAAAAGTGAATCATGCTGCAGCCTTTGTTTGAAGGCATCTCTTGACAATCCTGGATGAATATCTGAACTGTCAACAAAATCCTCATTACTGACATCAGAGAATATACTACTGCCAGTTCTCAAAACTGAAACAAAATCTTCTTTTTCTGACTCTAACAAACTCCGAGTGTCTCCAGGCTTGAAGCCAGGCAATCCCTGAATATTAGATCCTAGGTAAATGTTAAAGGATTCCCTTATTGCTTTTGCTTGCTGTAAGCCAGACACAGGAGACAAGTAGCCTTCTATCAAAGCCTCCTCTAAGGAAATACCACCTCCTGTAAGATTGTCATAGAAGAGACAAGTTTTCATGTCTATCTTGCCTGTCTGTAAGGCTGTTGTGATGCTGCAAGTCTCTCCTGCCTTACTCAGTTCCTTATATTTAAAAGGCCTCCCATCAGATGCGACAACCAGTCCGGTTCTTACAGCATCATCTATAGAATACATCTTCTGGGAGGCATGCTCTAAAAAATGACCGGTCAGCGGATCAACAAGTCCAAGCTTCAGTGCATCACGGAATGTTACATAGCCAGCACCTCCTGGGTCAGCACTGAAATGCGGAGATTTCTCAATCTTCTCTGAGATAACCAGACCTTGATTCATGGCTTCCGCAAGGGAAATGACATCTCCGGTCAAAGGGTCAGTGTATTTGCCTGATGGGTCCAGTATCCCCTTACTGATTGCTTCCACAACGCTGACCTCTTGACCGGTCCCCGTATCAAGCACGGCAGTGATGTTGTAAGTCCCTGCTGCCTTCTTAGAGGTCACAGTGGTCTGAGATTTTGAAACTGTCTGGATTGACCCAGTGATGAGTCCCTCTTTCATGGCGTCCTCCATCAACATCTGAACACCCGTTACCGGATCATTGAAGACAGTACAGTTTTCATCTATAAGTCCTCTTTCGATAGCCTCTTCAAGCCCTAACCTTCTACCACTGCTAGGATCATTGACACTGGTCACATTGATCTGCTTGGCATCTTGTTTATTCTGGTCTGTCAGCCCAGCTTCAGATGTGTCTTTCCCATTGACTAAGCCATGCTTCAGAGCTTCTTTGACTGAAACAGTTCCGCCTGAATGGTTATACACACCTGTGTCCTTGTCTAGAATTCCTCGCCTGACTGCCTCAGACACAGAGATTGATTTGCCTGTCTGTGGGTCTTTAACGTCTGTGATCAGCACGTCGCTGATGATGACCACCTCCTGAGCCCTTTCCTCTTCCTCTACTTCAGCGCTGACCAGACCCAGATCAATTGCTCTGTCCAGCTGAATGTGCTCTCCTGTCTTGCTATTAATAATGACTCCTCTGTCTGGGTCAAACACGCCTTGACCGATAGCTTCAGACATCAATAGTTCTCGTCCAGATGCGGGGTCCACAACTGCGGTAATCGTCATAGACTTCTGGGTCACAGAGGTTACTACTGGCTCATTTATTTCTGGTTGAGAGCTCACAAATGATCTCCTGGTGAGATCAACAGATGGCTCTGCTGGTTCTTTCTTATACTTTGTCAATGCGTGTCTTCTCTGCTTGTCTGGTGATTCAGATCTAAGAATGTCCTGCCCAATCTTTGTTTCCTGTCTAAATGTATCACTGCTTGATCTGATGTAGTCATCCTTGCTCAAACTGTGACCATCACTCACTCTACCTTTGATAAGGCCCTCTTCAAAAGCTTGCGACAGAGGAATAGGATCCAGGCTTGCAGGATCATTGTATGCTCCAGATTTCAAATCGAGCAAGCCAAGAGACACTGCTTCTGCTACGTTGACAAATTTATCTCTGACCGGGTCATACACAGCGGAAATGTCACAGGATTTTTCTTTGAAAGTCTTGGACTTCATGATAGTCTGTTTTGTACTCATACCTTCCTGCTCGCCAAAGCCGACAGAAATGTTTTCACTTGTTGAAATATAAGAGCCTTGTGAATCATTTATTCCTTTTCTGATCGCTTCACTGAATGTAACCTGTTGTCCTGTCTTTGAATCAAACACTTCCTTGTGCTGAGGTAAATCAGTGCCATCTGTCAAAAGAAAACTGCCTTCGTCACCCTTTAGTAGGCCTTGTTTCAAAGCATCACCCAAGGACATTGCCTCCCCTGTTCTTGTATTGGCCAGAGTACCAGAAGAAACATCTAGAACACCGGTCTTGATAGCCTGGGACAGGGGTATCTGACTGTTGGTTGCTGGGTCTACCAGTGCATGAATTCTGAAAGTTGAAGACTGTGTAAGTACCGACTCATGTGATCTCTGGTACCTCTCTTCAGTGTCCTTATGGGACTTGAGTGTAGTGGCTGACACCAAGCCCTGTTGTATGGCATCATTCAGGGAAACTGTACTTCCGGTTGTCACATCGTGGAAGTACTTCCCTGCCTCATCAATGATGCCTCTTCTCACAGCTTCTGATAGAGACACACCTCTTCCAGTGGTAGGATCTTTCACTGAGTTAATCTGCAAAGATTTCTTCTCCAAAAAGGCCACCTCTGTAGTGACTCCACTTGTAGTCATTTCCTCAACAGTGATCAGTTTATCCATCACTTTTCCTGAAACAAGATCTTCGGATATTGCTTCTGAAATTGGCATTTTCTCCCCAGTGGCTGAGTTCTCATAAGTGCCGTCTTCAAGGTCTATAATGTTCCTGCCAACTGCTGAATCTAAAGAAATGTCCTGTTTAGCTATGGGATCATACACACTGTCCACATGAATTGTCTCAGTTGACTTAGAGAAGATCTGTGTACCAGCTGTGAGCAGTGGAGATTCTTGGACAATGCCATCTTTGATACACTGGTCAAGATTCCTGGCTTGCCCGGTGCTGGAATCCACAACACAGCCAACGTCATCAAGAACACCACGAAGCAGAGCCTCCTCCAGGTTCAGGGATGTTCCTGTAAGTGGGTCTCTAATGATGGCAGAGTCCTTCTTAATGAGGTCACTCATGATGGCATCGCTGACTTGCATCTGTCTGTTTGAGACCGGATCTGTGAAGACACCTGTTTTAGGATTGAGGTAACCGCTTGAAATAGCTTCATGAAGCTTCATGGCATCAGAAGCAGTACTGTCGGGAACACTCTGTTTTAGCACTGTGACTTGCAGTGTGTTGGAAGACAGCTGTTTAGCAGAAGTGATCTGGAATGAGAGGGCTGGCTGGCTGGTTGGAAGAGGTTGAGGCACTGGACTTTTATCACCCGCCATCAGAGCCTGAAATGATTCTTTGGCAGCCACTGCTGCAGCAAATGGAGCACCAACAACTGCAAGAAGTCCAAGCTGTGTGGCTTCCCTCAGAGTCAACTTCCTCCCACTCTTCTCATCAATAAATCTTCCTGTGACTGGATCAATCTTACCCTCCTCCAGTCCTTCTTCTAGAGAGTAGATTTCTCCCGTTTTCACATCATACACTGTGAATTTTTTATCTATCATTCCTTTGTCTACTGCATCTTGGAATGATAGACTTTCTCCAGAAGTGAAATCATGAAAGACTCCTTTCCTGTCGTCAAACAGCCCTTGCTCTACAGCTTGTGGCACAGTCAAACCTTGTCTGTCACCGGACTCCGAAGGAGATGTGTCAATGAGCTGATCCCTGATTGCATCCAGTAAAGCAAGTCTCTGCCCAGAGCTGGGGTCTGTATACTGCTGCTCTTTAAGATTAATGAGTCCCTCGTCTACTGCTTCAGTAAATGATAATCTTTTATTGTCCTCTGCTGGAGGTTTGAAAGAGCTCTGTTTATTTACAATCATAGATGCTTCTTTAGGAACAGCAACCATTTTTTTCACAGCATGAATAGTTGGGCTCTTTTCTTTTGGTTCTAATGGTTGTTTCTGTGAATCTTCGGATGGCTTCAATTATACCATATCTAACTGCAGCAGCCAGAGACATGACCTCATTGGTAACAGGGTCTGTAAAAGTGTCGTTTTCTTCATCGATGCAACCCCTCCGGACAGCCTCCTTCAAGGACAAAGGATTCTTAGAAGCTATACCGGGTGAAACAGTGCCTAGTTCTGCATGGTCTGGGATCAATCCCAGTGTCCCTGCTTCCTGCAATGAGATTCTTTCCCCTGAAGTTTTGTGGATGAGTTCCCCTGTTAGAGGGTCAAATATATTACTGACAATGGCAGAGTTGAGAGATAACAACCGCCTACTCTGAGGATCAACCACGGATGACTTGTCTCCATCAATAATGTTTTTCCGGAGAGCTTCCTTCACAGACAGCCTGGCCCCTGAAAGATCAATTATTTGTCCAGTAGATATGTCGTACATTCCTTCTTTCGTGGCATAGTTGAGTGTGTAAGGTTCAGCAGAGGAAGAAGTCTGTAATGTGGTTACCGTGGTAAGTTCAGTTGCCATCTCAGAAACAGAAGCTAAAACTGTAGCAGTCGATGCGTCAATCAGTCCCTTTTGAAGAGCACTCTCTACAGAAACATTGTTACCTGTTGACAAATCTGTGACTGTACCCAGCTCCCAGTTAATGTTAATTTCTGGAATGGATTGAACACCTCCTGTGGAATGGCTGGCCAGATCCTCCACAATATCAGAATTGATCAGTCCTTTCTGCACAGCTTCTGGGATGGTCATCTTCTGACCTCTAACTGTGTCAATGACTGTCCCAGTCTCCCAGTTTATCTGCAGATTCTTCAAACTGGCATGTCTGAAATCTGTGTTGTGCCCATCTGGTCTCTCACTGGTGATCTTAACATCAGCTGTTGTAGCTGAACTAATGGGAATGATTCTACTAGTGGACAACTTCTCATTAAATTTGTGAGACTCTGCTGTACCATCTACTGTTGTCATCCTGGATTCCATGGATACAGTCTTCGTTTCTGATACTGAGCTGTAGTTTTTGGCAGAAGTTGAGATTTTGGTTGCTGAGGAAGCCACAGAGATTTTTGCTGGCTGTCTCTCTGAAGGCCATTGAGTGGAGACAGGGCCTCTTTTTGTGGATGAAGTGTGTTGGGATGAAACAGTTGGCCCTTTTGCTGAAGCAGTGAAGTCTTGTGGAAGTTGTCTCTCTGGGGTGGGCCGAGGAGAAGTAGTGATTCCTTTTGGTGAAGTGGTCGAGGTTGCTGGTGACTGTTTCTCTGGGGTAGGTTGGGAAAAGACAGTGGTTCCTTTTGGTGAAGAAGTGGCAGTCGAATAAGTGATGTGATCTCCTGAATGATCCACCACAGGATCAGCTGGAAACATTATTTCCTGATGGCTGTCTTGTTTGGGTTTGATGTTAACTTCTGGGAGATCTCTCGCTGTCTGAGCTTCTCTAGAAGAGCTTACATCTGACTGTAAAACATTGATGAAAACTGTCCTACTGGGTGATGTCTGTGACCGTTTGGTTTCTTCAACTACTTCAGTTTTCTCAACTGGTATCTTAGCAGGGCTAGATTTTCTGTGTCTGGCGGCATCAACCACCAACTTCCCTGCCATAATTGGAGCTCCAGCAATAGCCATCAATCCCAACTTCAACGCTTCTTCCGGGGCCATTTTTCTACCTGACTGTTTGTCAACCACAAATCCAGATCTATCTACTAGACCTCGTGACAAAGCAGACTCCAAGGGAACTTGCTCTCCGCAGCTGGTATCTACAACTACAACTGAGCCAGGTTTCAAGCCACCGTTCACAATGGCGTTTCTCAAAGGGATCTGCTGTCCAGTTCTCTCGTCAGTGATGGACAGAGTGTGAACACTGAGTCTGTTCTCTACCAAATCCTGCTCAATAGCGGATGGAAGAGCTACTTTAACTCTTCTGACAGAGTCGTAGACCTCAGCAGTGTTTCCATTGATCAGCCCTTTCTTCAGTGCAGCTTCTACAGGCAGCCGTTGTCCACTGGATGTTTCTTTCACAGTGACCATTTGTCCATCAATAAAGCCTCTATGGACACCTTCTTGCAAGGTGTACCTGTGGCCAGTTGTTGGCTCCAAGAAGCGGCCTGTGATGGAGTTAAAAAGTCCTGCAGAAACCGCATCTATTATGTTTATTGCTGTGGAGCCTTCAGCTCCTTGTGGCAAAGACTTCTCTGAGAATCCAGCTTGTTGGACTCTGCTGACATCAAACTTACAAACTTGGGGATTCAGAAGTCCTGTCTTGAGACAGACATCAAGGGACATAGTGTTTCCCGATGATGGTTCTTCAAGAGCAGGAAGATTTGGATTGATAACCTTTCTATCTACTGCTTCCTGAAGTGTCAACAATTCACCTGACTTTGGATCTCTCACTCTGCCACTATCAGAATGAACCATGCCAAGTTTGACAGCATCTGTATAAGACACCCCATCTAAGGATCTTGTTGGTAAAGCCCTGCTTCCAAGCAAGTGAACTGTTTGTCCAGGTGTATATTGTGGGGTATCATGTTCAACCTCTGAAGAGTAATGGACCACTTCAGTTGCCAATGATTCATCTTCTGCTGACTCGTCATGAGTGACTGTCTTCTCCAATTCCATATCAACTTTGGACCAGGGTTTCTTTGATTCCCTAGGCATGCGGGGTGTGGACAGCTGGGTCTCTAGTAAGTTTTCCTCCTCTAAAGACTTCTCTATCTGGGCAGCACTGGACTGCTTGGACTCTAGTAGATAGCCAAACTCCTTGGCTTTGCTGAGATCGATTTCTGTACGTGTTTTGGGGTTAAAGTAAGTTCCTTTATCAGGATTGATGATGCCATCTTTGAGAGCTGTCTCCAAGGAGATCTCCTTGCCAGTTCTGGGATCAATGACAGATGTGATGTCCCTGAGAGAAACTAGTGGCAATGCTGATGACACTGCACTTCTCATGATGTCATCCTCCCGTCTCTTGGATGTGACTTCTCCGTGGATGAGTCCCTTTTCCATAGCTGCAGTAATTGTCATGGTCTCCCTGCTGCTGGGGTTGTTGTAGGTTCCCGTCTTGACATTGAGAACACCAGATCTCACAGCTTCATCATAGGAGATCATGTCCATGGTTTTGGGGTCTATGACACTTGTGATGCTCATGGTGACAGTCTCTGAGTGGATATCTTCCCTCATATTTGCCTCTAAAGACTCCTGCTCATCTGTGATGTGAATGCTTGAGACTTCTGCCCTCTCCAGAGGATCATCAGATCTTGCTTCTGGCGACTCTGCCAGCACTAGTCTCTTATCTATAGCATCCCCCAGTGTCATAGACTCGCCAGTCTGAGGGTTTGTGTAAATGCCTTTATTCTGGTCCAGAATGCCTTCCTCTACTGCCCTGGACACAGAAATCAGCTGACCAGTGATAGGGTGGACAACTGCTGTCACTGAAAGTGTGGTCAGCTTTGTTGTTGTGATTTTGTTCACATCCTTGTCCACATCGGTTTTCACCGAAGTCAGCTGAGCAAAGATGAAACCTTTCTCGATGGCTTCATGAATGGGAATTCTTTCTCCAGTGCTTAGTCTGTTGTAGAATCCTTCAGATTCATTAATGATACCCTCAGCAATTGCCTCGGCAATGCTCATATGCTTCCCACTGATAGGATGCAGGACAGTCTTGAGAATGTAAGACTTTGTTTCCCTCAACATGGAGTCTGCGCCAGCAAATGACTCTCCAATATCCTCCACAATTACATATCCCTTCTCAATGGCTTCACTGATTTTCATGGACTGTGGCTGTGCATCAGGATTGTTGTAGATGCCTTTCTCTAAATCCAGGACGCCTGCACTGACCGCCTGGCTGACCGTCATCCGTTTGCCAGTCTCAGGGTGGAGCACACCTACAATAGAGAAAGCTCTGGTCTCCTTTATAGGGCCTCCTTCCTGGCTGCCCACCATCTGCTCTGCTTTGATAAATCCTCTTTCTATTGCCCTGTTCAATGCCATTGATTCTCCTGTGACTGGATGTGTATACTGCCCTTTGTCCATGTTGATCAGCCTCCTCTTAATGGCATCTTCGATGTCCAATTCCCTGCCAGTTCTGGGGTCCAAAACTGACTTGAGATTGACCTCCCTTGTTTCAGAGATCACTGAAGGAATCAGCAGTGGTCTGGCTAGTGTGGTGGTGGTGAAGGAGTAATGAGACTCAGTTCTGGTCATGTAGCTGGACTCAAACTTTCTAGAGCCAGGTTCTATGGGGATAGTTCTCGTCTTATTTCCTGAGGTGTCAGTCATAAATGTTTCCTGGGTCATCTTTTTCAACTCTGAATCCATCTCATCTACATATGAAGGTAAAGTGGGAAGTTGTGACTGTTCAGAGGATAATCTAGGTAAGTTGTTCTGGACAGATTCCTCATGGTTTTTCTTTGGCTCTTTCACATAGCCATGTAAAACAGGCTGTGATGTGGTTAAGATTTCTGTCGTGTGAGGTATCTCAATCTGAGTCAGAACTGTAGTCGTTGTCACCACAGAAGACAACAGGTTTAGGACATTTGTAGCATCTGTTGCAGTGATCAGGCCCACAGAAGCTGCATCTTGTACTGTCATTCTTTCCCTGGTTCTAGCATTCAATACAGAGCCAGTGTCTATGTCTACAAGCCCCAACCTCAGAGCCTCTACAACAGAAATGTTTCTGCCCTGGGCGTCTGTCATGCTGGTAGGCTTGTTGAGATCTGTCACCAGGTTTCTATCCATGAGCCCGGAGCTACCTGCTTGTTGCAGAGACATTTCTCGTCCAGTTCTGCTGTCTACGTAAGACCCCTGAGGAGTAACAATGCCTCTCTTGAAGGCATCAGACAGTGTGACCACCTCACTTGTCCTGGGATCTTTAACGCCAGTCCGGGAAAACTGAACATCTTCTTGAACGAGCTTAACTACTCCCTTCTTCAAAGCTTCCAAGATGGAAAGTTGGGAATTGTCTTCTGGGTTGACTATTAAACCAGATGGGGTCATGTTACCTTTGCTAATAGCTTCACGGATTGAAAGGACACTATCAGTGTTCGCATCAAGGATGCACTTCTTGTCCTTGCTGATAACTCCCTTGTCAACAGCTTCAGCAAATGTCATCACCTGGGCTGAAACAGGATCAAAGATGTGCTCATCCTCAGTGATGTTCCCTTGGGAAACAACATCAGCCAATGAAGTGGCAGTCTTCACAAGTCCCTTGTTCATAGCAACAGACAAAGGCAGCTGTTGATTTGATGCTTCATGGTTGTAAGTGCCTCTATATGGATCTACTATTTCTGTTGCCACAGCTTGTGTTAAAGTGATGTAATGCCCACTTGTTGGGTCTTCAATCTCTTCATAATCTGGGTTAATGTAGCCCCTCTCTATTGCTTCCAGGATGCTAGTGTCTATCCCTGAGAGAGGTTCTGTTACTTTTCCAGTTATTTCACTGTAGAGACCTTTCTCCACGACTTGCCCAAGACTAAGACCCCAATCAACTTTCTGGGGCCTGGAGTCTGCAAACAGTGCTTGTGCATGTGTTACAGAAACCAGTTCAACCTTCTCTCCAGACAAGATCCGTGAGCAGGACTCGGATAAGATCCCCCTAGCCACTGCCTCTGAGACTGATACCTGTTCTCCAGTTGTGGCATCTGTGAATGTGTTGGAGAGAGGATGATACAGTCTCTTGTTGATTGCCTCTAACAGGGACAGCTCGTCTCCAGTCTGGGGATCATGAGATCCACAGGGAGAAGTCAGCTGCTTTAGCACCACCTCATCAATGTACCCCTTCTTCGCTGCCTGTACCAGAGACATCCTTTGTTGCGTGGATGGATCAACAAAGGTCTTGGTTTTAGTGTCAATGAGCCCGGTCTGCAGGGCCTGCACCAGGGCAACCTTCTTGGAAGTGTAAGGATTCAAGAAAGCAGTCACATGCAAGACCTGTCCTCGAGGAACTATCTCACTTTTTCTGATAGTGATGACCGTCTGTTCTTGCTGCCTCTGGACATTTTTGGCTCCTAACACCGCTGTAGAAGCCACAACTGAAGGTGTCAGCTGGATTGTGGAGGAACCTCCTCCCATTGCTTTCAGGGCTACTGACAGTTCTGACAGACCAGTTCTGTTGGAGGATGCAGCTTCTGACTGATCCCTGTCTTGTCGGACTGTTTTTGCTTCAGCCAGTTCTGCCGTCATGGTAGACTCTGGCAGTATCTGTAGGGTGCTCTTGTACAACTGGCTTGGTGTGGTGGCGTAGGTGGCTCGTGATGGGGTTGGTCCTTCAAACTGCTGGGTGAAGTACTCCATCATGTCATCATCTACTAGCATGGATGATCTCTTGGCCAGCTCAGCCCGGAATGTTCGTAGCAGGGGAATTTCCTCATCAATGACAATCTGGAACTGCAGACATTACAGACAATTAGTTTTACACATAGTTTTTAAAATCATGAATATATATCTGTGTATAGATGTGTGTGTGTGTGTGTGAGAGAGAGAGAGAGAGAGAGAGAGAGAGAGAGAGAGAGAGAGAGAGAGAGAGAGAGAGAGAGAGAGAGAGAGAGAGAGAGAGAGAGAGAGAGAGAGAGAGAGAGAGAGAGAGAGAGAGAGAGAGAGAGAGAGAGAGCATGTGGGTGTATAGAGAGAATGGAGAAAACACAGAAGCAGAGAGTTACAGACAGGACAAAAGAAAAAATAGAATGAGAACAGACAGACAGATCAATTCCCAGATACAAATACACTCAAACACAGGCTCAATCCTTGCCATTTTCTGAGGTTAGATTCCATGAAAATACTCAAACTCGAACTACCCCTATCAACACCCCCCCCCCCCCCAAAACCCACCACCACCAATCCCTATTTTAGAATAACTATAAAATATTGACATACAACAAAGAAGGAATTAAATTAAAAAACTGATACCACTGCACATTCCCATTAAAAAAAAAAAAGATTGACTAAGAATGGATGAGTGACATGGCCAATGAAGCAAGAATTTATATTGCCGAAAATGGCCTCAGCCATAGCTAAGGAATCCTGAACACAACAGGGATCAATAGTCAATGTCCCCCGTGTGGGTTCCGGGGCCCCATTATGGGGAAAACAAGAATAGACCCACTGCCTCCCCAAAAACATGTCGTAAGAGTCGACTAATTGGGGAGCTTCCTTTGAAGTCGGAGTGCATCTGCCGGAAAGGCAAGGAACCAACAGTCTGTATTCAAGAGAATGAGATCTGTAAAACTGATGCACACGCAGCACTCAGGTTCTGGAGCAGGACTGCAGTTCAGTAGTGGACGAGCAACCAGAACTTTCCGCCAGAGTGTACAGCTGGTGAACGCGAAGAAGAAGAACAAGAATAGTAAATGTTTCTTTAACTGTTACAGTTTCTTATGTGTATATAATAACCCTGTACATATGAAATAACAAAGAGAAACATACTTGTACATCAACACACACTGGGACTGTATACAAGAAACAAGCAAAGAAACGTAACTGAAAATCAAAATAAGTTAGTTAGTTAGTTAATCAACAGATTATGCTCATCGCAAATCAGTTGAGCTGAGTTGAGTCAAGAATTGACATCACAGCACTCAGGGCTTTCACACGTGTGCTCCGTCCTCATCTTCAGCAGCCAGCACAGAGTTTCAATACTGATGGTACTGGTCACAATCTGGTTATATGTCTGTCTTGCCTTTCCTCTGAGTCTAGTGAGCCGGCCAGACCCTCTGGTTACACCCAGGTGCCTCATTCTCTTCAGGCCATAATAATCTTTTTCTCTACTGATTTCATTGCTTGTTCCTAAAGGGCCTTAACCACATCTGCCATGTCAAGCATCAATTCACCACCCAGTGGTGCAGATCCAGCCAATCTGTCTGCTTGTTCAATACCCACCCCGCCGGCATAGCCTGGAGAAAAGATCCAAAGTATGCTCACTATCCGTGATCTTCCCAGTGAAGTTTGCCACTCTGCTCAAAGCATCCCTGTCTTCACTTTTCTCAGCGTGCTTTCAGAGTCTGTTACAATTACGACATGTGTATGCATCTTGTTCTCCAACCACTGGAGAGCTGCAGTTACTGCCTCCACCTCCACCGCACAAGTCCATAAGCACTTGGATCCCATTTTCAGTATATCCCCCAGCTTGTGGCAACTGATATACCAGTTAGTTCTGTTTGGTTTACTATTCTTCTTTGGCTACCTGTATAGTGTTTACGTCTGGCAACACCTCTTTTGACCTGAAATTCTTATAGTCTCTTGAGTGTCAACATACAATGATAATGTAAACATAAACCAACAAGCAGAAGTGTGTACCTAAACTCAATATGTAATGACAGTATACACATGAAATGAACAGAAGTGTGCCTAAACTCAATATGTAATGACAGTATACACATGAAATGAACAGAAGTGTACCTAAACTCAATATGTAATGACAGTATACACATGAAATGAACAGAAGTGTGTACCTAAACTCAATATGTAATGACAGTATTCACATGAAATGAACAGAAGCATACCTAAACTCAATATGTAATGACAGTATACACACGAAATGAACGGAAGCATACCTAAACTCAATATGTAATGACAGTATACACATGAAATGAACAGAAGTGTGTACCTAAACTCAATATGTAATGACAGTTATGACACATGAAAATGAAGTGTGTACCTAAACTCAATATGTAATGACAGTATACACATGAAATGAACAGAAGTGTACCTAAACTCAATATGTAATGACAGTATACACATGAACTGAACAGAAGTGTACCTAAACTCAATATGTAATGACAGTATACACATGAAATGAACAGAAGCATACCTAAACTCAATATGTAATGACAGTATACACATGAAATGAACAGAAGCCTACCTGCATGTCACCATGACGAGACATGTCATGTGTGATCTGCTTAAGTCTCTTGTTGGCCCCATCCACCATCTCCATGTACAGCTTGTTGAGACGGTCCAGTTCCTCTTTCACCACGTCCGAGCCATCTTGCTGCTTGAATTGTTTCAAGTTGGGGATCTTAGGCTGCGTGGTTGATGCACCAACATTTTCTTGAAACTGCTTCAACCTCTTGTCTGATAACTGGATGAAATAATCATACATTCTATTATCTTTCTTCCTTTGAGCTTTCTAGATTAGTTAGTTATGTGAGTGAGGGACGCTGATGTGATTGAGTGAGAGGGAGTGAGGGAGTGATTTTTCCCGTGTAGCCGTGATGGTGAGGGATGTGATGTGAGTGAGTGTATGTTTGCATTTAGTATTGTGATCAGCGATATAACACTAAAAAAAAGGTCACTACTCCATTAGAATTCCAGAGATAAATCAATGCATACAAAATGTGCTGGTTAGTAATAAATCTACATTTTCAAACTTGTATCGAAAAATTTAAAGATACATGAAGGCAGTTATCTATCTTCATGAACAACAGGGTGAGGCATTTGAACTCTGCGCTGGCTGCTGAAAATGTGGACGGAGCACACATGAGAATGCCCCGAGTGCTGTGATGTCAATTCTGGACTCAACTCAGGATGAGGTATTCAATAGAATACATCTTCCAGGAACTTTACAAAATGTATCGGGTAAATCAAGCTAAGACACTAGCACTTATATCCCTGAGCCTTACAGGAAACTCTGGCATCATCTTGGCTTTTAAAAAGCCATTTAGTTCACAGCTACTCTCCTTGGAAGCCTTCGGAAACATTTGCTTAATCCATCTTGAATCGAACTCAAGACTTTCGGGCCAGCAGATGATTGTCTATCCAGGGTTGAGCACATCTCTAGAGGAGTCATCTAATAATGTTAACCAATGACATACACGAGTAAATGCTAGAAAAAGATGGGCAGAAGAGATGTGATACACGTCATACCTTTGCCTCCCGAATCAATTGTCCGCCATGTTTGTTGACTGTCTCAATCTGAAATCTTCTATCTCCCAGCTCATTGTAGATGGCCTAAAACAAGTGAAACCAGAATCAACAGTTTGTAACAATAGAAACAATATCTTCAAGTCAATATGATCAGTAGTAGCCTCACACATTCAGGATCAATCATTTATTGGGATCAATCACTTATTGGGATCAATCATTTATTGGGATCAATCATTTATTGGGATCAATCACTTATTGGGATCAATCACTTATTGGGATCAATCACTTATTACGATTAATCACTTATTGGGATCAATCACTTATTGGGATCAATCACTTATTGGGATCAATCACTTATTGGGATCAATCACTTATTGGGATCAATCACTTATTGCAATTAATCACTTATTGGGATCAATCACTTATTGCAATTAATCACCTATTGGGATCAATCCTTTATTGGGATCAATCACTTATTGCGATTAATCACTTTTGGGATCAATCATTTATTGGGATCAATCACTTATTGGGATCAATCACTTATTGCGATTAATCACTTATTGGGATCAATTATTTATTGGGATCAATTATTTATTGGGATCAATCATTTATTGGGATCAATCATTTATTGGGATCAATCACTTATTGGGATCAATCATTTATTGGGATCAATCACTTATTGGGATCAATCACTTATTGCAATTAATCACTTATTGGGATCAATCCTTTATTGGGATCAATCCTTTATTGGGATCAATCACTTATTGGGATCAATTATTTATTGGGATCAATCACTTATTGGGATCAATCACTTATTGCGATTAATCACTTATTGGGATCAATTATTTATTGGGATCAATCATTTATTGGGATCAATCATTTATTGGGATCAATCATTTATTGGTAAATCTTTAAAAGATATGATTGTCTTCATTTCTTATCCCTCCTTCAGCCGTCAAACTAATGCAGTGTATCCATATTTGTATTTCAACCTTTTCTGTCATTTCTAATTAATACCCAGATGCGCTGTACTTCAGGTAACAGGGTAGACACAGTTGCAAACAGTAAAGGCCCCCATAGCAAATGTCAAGTGGGGATGAAATGTCAGGTCTTGACAAGGCACAGATATTGCAACCTAGCTGTAAACCACAACACAACGTGCCAACCGCCACTTTAGGGGAAAAAGACAAATAACCAACCAACGGGAAATCGAACACCGTCATCCGCGTGGAGGGCGGAATACTTACAACTCCACTACCCAAGACTGAAGACTTTAGATCAGATATCGTAGCCTAGCTGTAAACCACAACACAACGTGCCAACCGCCCTCTCAGGGGCAAATGAAAATTACCCATGACATGAACATTGAGCATCACGTCGTCGCTATCGCAGGCTAGCTGTAAACCCCAAAATCGAGCAGGGAAAAAAGGCGTAGATTTTGCAGCCTAGCTATAAACCACAACAAAATGTGGCAGCCACCCAGTGCTGTACTTCAGGTAACATGGTAGACAAAAGTTACAAACAGTGAAGGCAGTCATAGCAATGTCAAGTGGGGATGAAATGTCAGGTCTAGACCAGTGTTTCCTATGTGGTGGTCCAGCCTCCTAGGGGATCTACCCAACAACTATAAGGGGGTTAGCGGCAAAACTGACAAGAAACCTCCACAACTCCACAGTGATTTTTTTTGGGTCTCCCCAGCCTTAAATGGGTACTAGGTAAATTCATGGGAAGTAAAGGCGGCTGACATGATGCTGATCACATCACACACCAAGTGCTGATTTGTCTATAAATTTTAGATCTAGCACTCTATACCCAATTCACCTAATGGCCTGAAAAAGAGTCCTTTATGACTATTAAAAAGCCCCTCTGTAAGTTCTGAGGCCCCACTGTAAGGAACAAAGAATTGGCCCACTGCCTCCCTAACAGGCATACAAGTTAACTAATAACAAAATTGTCTGTAAAGCACATGCTGAGTTCTACCCGACCCTGAAACTGACTGGGACTAAACCTCAACCAATATCTAGGCAGGCAAGCTCACTAACAACTATGCCCACATGTTGAAATAGGATTTCTTTTTCTTATTTTTTTTTATAACTACAATCCTTTCGCCCCGTGAATGCAAAAACAAACAGGTTATGAACCCGTGAGAATTTCCTAGGACAAAATCCATTTTAAACAGTACAATTATTTTTTTTTTTTTTAATTTATTTACATATAATCTGTTTCATATATAAAGACATATAAAGGAGTAATAAATAAGCAAGAACACAGTGAAACATTAAATGGAATACATTGACAGGTATTTTAACAAATGTATCTGGTGACTCTTGCCGTTGTCTTCATCAGTGAGGCTTTCAAAAACTGACTGGCTATTGGGATCATAAGGAAACTCCTCTAAATGCTATTTATAGTTACTATGTTGATATCCTGGCTTATTAAACGCTGTACAGGTGCATATAGGGACAGGTGAGTTTAACTAGGCTCTTCGAGAACAGGTCATTGCAAGCAACGCCCTATATAAGCACTTATGGGGCTGTGGGGCAGCCGAAAGTGACTAGGTAAACGTTAAACAGATACAAACTCCTGATCTTACCAGACATTCAAACTCTGATCTCAGAGTATATAAACTTGGGATAAACACGCTTTCCCCTGCACATTTTTGGTAAAACATACATTTCTTAAAATGTAATTGCTACAGTGCCAAGCAAGGAACTAAGTGCACATATTGGATTTAACTGGCCTGATACACTTTACTTAACTCATTGTAACCCATCCAGTTGTTGGATTTAACTGGCCTGATACACTTTACTCAACTCATTGTAACCCATCCAGTTGTTGGATTCAACTGGCCTGATACACTTTACTTAACTCACTGTAACCCATCCAGTTGTTAGATTAAACTGGCCTGATACACTTTACTCAACTCATTGTAACCCATCCAGTTGTTGGATTCAACTGGACTGATACACTTAACTCATTGTAACTCATCCGGTTGTTGGATTTAACTGGCCTGATACACTTAACTCATTGTAACTCATCCAGTTGTTGGATTTAACTGGCCTGATACACTTTACTCAACTCATTGTAACCAATCCAGTTGTTGGATTCAACTGGCCTGATACACTTAACTCATTGTAACTCATCCAGCTGTTGGATTTAACTGGCCTGATACACTGAACTCATTGAAACACATCCAGTTGTTGGATTTAACTGGCCTGATACATTTAAATCAACTCATTGTAACCCATCCAGCTGTTGGATTTAACTGGCCTGATACACTGAACTCATTGTAACCCATCCAGTTGTTGGATTCAACTGGCCTGATACACTGAACTCACTGTAACCCATCCAGCTGTTGGATTCAACTGGCCTGATACACTGAACTCATTGAAACCCATCCAGTTGTTGGATTTAACTGGCCTGATACACTTAACTCACTGTAACCCATCCAGTTGTTGGATTTAACTGGCCTGATACACTCATTGTAACCCATTGTAATGGGGGATATTTTCACCCACATTAGGAAGGTTGGGGGTAGGCCCAAGGTTAACTCAAAACACCGAGATATTCCAGATACTCGGATTATACGAGGTTTTCAATATAGGTTTTCATGACCACGAGTTATCACATGAAGCACGTTGATGCGACCACAGGTCACCACGTGGAAGTAAAGGACCACCATGTGTTGCCACGTGAAACTAACCCGTGGTATAAGTTCAGACTCGATTCTGATCAAGTTAGTATGTGTTGAACTGTCGGAGCGAAAGGACGGGAGTTTGGTTGTAAGAATGTCAACGTGAGATTGCTTGTTGTGAAAGGAGAACCAGACGACGACGTTGAAGCCAAGACCAGCCAGGCCAGTCTGTGTAATGTCCAGGAGATCAACCAGATACATTGGTGCAGACTCTGGTCAGTGACTGCGTGAGGAGCCTACATGTTAAAGTCTGCGTGATGTGGTGTGCAAAAGCTGTTTGGTAGGACAACGACTGGACCCTGTTGTAAGTTGCAATATGTCAATAAACTGATGTTTCGTACGGCTAAGTCGGTGTCGGCTTGTACCAGTTATGTCAACGTAGAATGTGTGATAAGAACATTCACGACACACATAATAAATACTCACTAGACAACGAGTCAGCTTATTGCACCCATCCAGTTGTTGGATTCAACTGGCCTGATACACTTTACTTAACTCATTGTAACCCATCCAGTTGTTAG